CATTACGAGTTTAAGAAGTAACTACTTGGACTTATTTAAGGTCTTTGTACCTACTTTGAAGACTTCGGTAGTTTTCCAGCATTTCATAGAGGCATGACTCTAAATCAGAACAAGATAGTTTAGAAAATACCTCCCCAGAGTCGGAGTTTGATTCTAACTCTCACAACATCTTGTCTTCTGGTTCTTTAAAACCTTCAGGATTAGTTGTAGTTGCCATCAATGCAACTTTGGCATGTTCCTCTTCAGAATCTTCTTCTTCTGATTCTGAGTCGTCCCATGTAGTCATAAGCCCATTATTGCCTTTAGAAAACTTTTTCTTAGGCCTTATGTCCTTCTTCGGCTTAGGACAATCATCCTTGCACTCATAACAGATAACCTCCTTACCAGAACCTTGCTTATTTTCTCCATACGAAGAATCAGAACGAGCAGCAGTCCTCCTAGCTCCTCTAAAATTCCCTTGACCATTCTACCTATGCCTCCAGAGTTTGTTGATCCTCTTGGAAATCAACGAAAGCTTGCAATCATCTTTTGAGTCTTCATTAGAATCTTCTGATTCTTCCTCAGCTTGATAAGTCCTTGTCTTCTTAGGCTTAGACTTAAAGGCAACAAATTTACCTCACTTATGAGGTTCATCTTCCTCGAGTTCTATATCATGGATTATTAAAGAACTAACAAGCTCTTTAAGACTAATATTATTCAGATCCTTTGACAGTTTCAAGGCAGTTACCCAGGTCTCCATTTTTTAAGGAGACTTCTGATGATTTTCTTGACATGGTCAGCCATAGAATACCCTTTGTCCAGAATCTTGATTCCTGCGACAAGCATATGAAATCTTGAAAACATAGTCTCAATGATTTCATCGTCTTCCATTCTAAATGCCTCATAGTTATGGATTAAAGCCAAATCCTTTATCTCTTTTACTTGAGCATTCCTTTCATGAGTCGTCCTTAGAGAATTAAAAATAAACTTAGCAGTGTCTCTGTTTGTTATCTTCTCATACTCAGTATAAGAGATATCATTAAGAAATATCGTTCTAGCATTATAATGATTCTTGCAATCCTTCTTTTGTTGATCTGTCATAGCACTTCTTGCTACTTTGTAACTGGGTAAACTTAGCCATCAACTACAAGATCCCAAAGATCAACATCATATCCCAGAAAGAAACTTTAGATTCTGACTTTCCAATAATCAAACTTTTCACCATCAAAGACTAGTGGTTTAGCATTGTAGTGATCTTTCTCATTGTTGTTAGCAGCAGGAGGAGCAGTAGCTATTATTTCTCACACACAAACTGGATCGGTACTAAACACAATGAAGTATTAATAAAACTTTATCACAATCAGAATCAGAGCTCTGATGCCAATTGAAGGTGCGAAAAACACATGAAAGAGGGGGTTTGAATTGGGTTTTAAAAACAAAAGCTTTTTACCAACTCAAAAACTCAACATAATCAAAAGATCAAAGATAGAAAGACACAAGGATTTTTATCATGGTTTGCTTGAAATCAAAGTTACTCCAGCCCACCCGCCAAGGTGATTTCGCCTTATACACAAGGACTTAATTCACTATAACCAAACTGATTACGAAATCACAAAGAACAAATTTTTTTATCTTCTCAAGGATCCGACCACAACTTAGTCTCCTTAAAGAATTACAAACAAACAAGTTCAAATAAATATTTTTATGTTATAAGTTGATTCTACACAAGCAGATTTTACACAAATGAAATACAAAAAACATAAAGAAAAGTATACACAAAGTTGAGAGCTTTTCATGTAGAAATAGTCTTGTAAAATTTTCATCTTTCTTCGAGTCTCTAAGTCCTCTTTATATAGCATGAAAAAGGAACCGTTGGAAGGGAAAAATCGAAATACGCAAAAAGTAGTTGTCCACTAACGGATTAGTGACAGGTGTGGAGAAGAGTATAGTCCTTCGCACACATTTTTAAGGTTAGTGGAAGGAATATTTTGTTTTGTACCATGTATTATTTGATCACGTATCCTCTTTGATCTTATCTTCAAATTCATTGGTTTCCGATGAAAAGTTGATGAAGCATGAAAAGAAGAAACACACAACTGAAATCAGAATCTTCAGTCAGAACCTTGACAACGTCAGCGTCTAGCTTGAGATCTTCAGAATCTTCAGCTAAGAAATACAACTTTAGAAGCTTGCCATTCTTCAGAAACTTGATGATCAGAGTCACTCCGGAATCAGAAGCGGAGAGAGCATTGTAGTAGCAACATATCAACTTTCCAAAAACTTCTCAGGAGTGAATCAGCACAGAAGCGAATTTTAGAACACAATGTTCAGAAATTGATGATGTTTCACATCATATACTCAGAATATGAATTTGCTGTTAAAGCTAAACAAAAACAAACCGTTAGGGTATCAAAATTGTTCTCACACAAATACTACGTTGTTATCATCATCTATGCATTTGCTGTTAAAGCTAAACAAAAACAAACCGTTAGGGTACCAAATCTTGTTCTAATAATTTTTCCCCTTTCGCATGTAACCTTTAGATATTAACATTCATCTATGCAAAGAAAAATCAAAATGGTTCCCGTTGAGTACAACGAATGTGAGGGATGATGATACCTTTTTCTCGTATAATCGACTCCCTTACCCGTTTCTCTTTCCCTTGGGTTTTATAGATACTTTCCCTTTTATTTTGGAATAAATAAAGTTCGGTGATGACTCTGTTATATCATCGAGTGTGTGATGCGCCCGGGTATTTTTCACGCCACGACAACGAAGCTAGTAACAGGAGAAGAACTTTCCTCTAGCCTTTAAGCCTTCATGGTGAGCGAATTTGGAGCTGGATCTTCCTTTTCCTCCCTTGGATGGTAAAAACCCTCTAGGTGACGCTAGGGGCCCTTAGTCTCCCCACTTATATTTTGAATCTTATCCCATCTTATTCTCTTTTCTTCAGCAAAAATATCCACCATCTGATCTACAAAATAATTCACAAAGGTCACGGATGCTGTCTAAAAATTCCCAGAAAGGAAAATAGAGCATCTAAAATTTACCTAAGTAAATAGCGAGATGGTTACTGCCCTTCATCCATATTTTAATTATCATACGTGATTCCATGGTGTTAAACTTCCCTAAGATGCAAAAAATCCTCGCCTCCTTGAGGGTAAGAAACTCATTGTCATATCCCATGATCGCCACATGATCATATGTCCAAAATAAGGAAAATATGGGCTTCATCTGGCTCTAACACTCCAAGATGGCTTTCTTGCCCCCTCACACGGGCGAACTTGTTCTTCCAATTCTAGTGGTGATTGGAGTGAGATGCAAAAAGGGCCTTCCCCGATAGACCACCTAAGGACACCCAACTACCTTTTGCTAGTATGGTGGTGTAAAAGGAGAAAAAGACTCTTATAGTAAGAGTAATCTCCAGGTATTTACAAGCCATCTCAAAAGTCTTGATAAAATCCCAATTGTTAGAGAACAGATGTGAGGATATGACATTGAGAACCTTTAAAACTTCAGTGGAAAAAGGGAAAAGGGAGAAAATAACTAACTTGTCCTTGATAAAAGTGAGGTAGAAGTAAAAGTAAGGAAAAGAAGGATTAGAAGAGATGGGTGTGGTCACCCTCTCCGACAACGAACAAGCCTCCAAAATAACCATGTCTCCATCTTCTAAAAAGGAAACCTTCACTTCTGGTAGAAAATGGAGGATATGTTCGTCAGAAGTGTAATCAGATCCAATATTCCTGACATCCTCAGGCATGACAAAAGGAATAACCTTTGTCTTTTTGTTCTTGGAAAAATTGTAAAACAAAAAAAATCAACACCATCGGATGACTATAACCTAGAAACCTACGGCCCAACGCTAACCTACACTTTATTTCAAACATATTTCTTCATAAACCCTAGTCACTAGAAAAAGGAGCAAGAGAAAGGAAAATTCATACTTGAAAAAAGATTGTGAACGAAGAATCAGAGGTGAAGAGGAGTTGTGCAGTTCATATGAGTTTACGGAAGTCGTGGGAGAAAAATAGAACAAATGAAGTATTTTGTACTATTGGACTCATGCATATATTTTACAATTATAAGAGAAATCCTTGGGAGATGTAGAATTGTTTATTTATAAACTCTTAGATGATTTATGGATAATATGAATGGAGAACTAACATATAAATACAAAAATAAATTACTCCATTTCACGGTTCACTATCAGTATAATATATATTTTATTTTAATCAACAATTGTCTTTATTTGATAGAAAAAATTCTTACTTTTAAATAAATGTCTAAATTTCTCTTCTTTTTTTTTCTTTCTCTATCCCACGTCTCATTGTTTTTTCTTCTTTTTATTTGATTATTTAATATAATTGAGTTTACATGATCATTATTCATTTTACCATTGAATAATTTATTTCAAATTTACATAAACATCTAAATATATTTTATACCGTATCAAATAAACTTAACTGCATGAGCTAAAATATCTTCCAAGTGAGAACAAAATAAGAACCTATCAAATCAAATCTTTTAAACGAAAACTACTCACCATGGGATGCAATTTGGCTGACATATGCTTCTGTGAAACAAAGATTTGCAAGAAAGAATAAACAAATGTGAGAAGAACTCGATTCTAGATATATAAGATTATAAATTTCATCCCATAGAAAGAATAAAATGGTGAAAGTAACAAAACACACAAAGTATATGTTAAAGTAATAATTTTAATAGACAAAAATAGCAAAACATCGTTTTTTAATGAATGGTACATATTATATTGTATTCTTCTTTACATGTCTATTATAAACTAGTCCTAATCAACAATTTAAATACATCTTATAACTAATTGGAGTTTAATAAAGAACAGGATACCTTTATAATGCATTTAGGAATCACATTCAATTAATTAACCTCAGATTAAAAAAATTAGTTAATTAACCCATCAACTTCTACATTATATATATTGTGCATGTGTTGAGCTTCTAAATAACTTCATCAAAGAAACATCATCAAATCATAAACTCATTATGGAGCAAAAAACATTTCCTTCTCTTCATCTTTTCACAGAGTTCAAACCACACATCCTCATGATCTTAGCCCAAATTTCTTATACTTTCTTATATTTCATCACTGAAGTTTCCTTTAACCATGGAATGAGTCCTTATGTTTATGTTACATATCGTCATGCTATCGCCGGGGTTGTCATGTTTCCTTTCGCGTATTTTCTCGAGAGGTACGTACATTTCTCTTAGAATGCGCCGAGTTTATGTTTTGTGTTTTAGCCAAAACAGCTAAAACATAAACTCATGATAACGAAGATTATGAATGAACTTGATTTTGTAATAATATTTTGCTTAGTAATATAAATATATTGCATTTTCATATGAAAATTTAGTAACCCAATTAATTTTTTTTTTCAGAAACATAAGACCGAAGTTGACATTTGCTCTTTTTATGGAGTTTTTTCTACTTGCAGTGTTAGGGTAAGAACAATTTTTTCTTTTTTTGGTGCTATTTCTATTTATAGAAAATATGGAAAATAATAATTTTTATAAATAAAAATATTGCAGGATGAGTTTATCTATCAACTTGTACTTTGCAAGTTTGAAGTATACTTCTCCAACCTTTCTCTCTTCCATGTACAACACCATATCTTCTCTCACCTTCATTATTGCAGTAGTACTAAGGTTTGAGGTTCTTGATCTTCATAATCCACGTGGCATAGCGAAAGTACTTGGAACTATTGTATCTTTAGCTGGAGTTATGACCATGACACTATACAAAGGACCTATAATCAGAAATTTGTGGCACCCTCTAATTCATATTCCACCAAAAAGTGCTTCTATCAATGAAAGTAGCTTAAAGGGTTCACTTCTTACCGTTTCATGTTGTATTTTGTTTTCTATGTCCTGCATCATGCAGGTAATTCTCATCTTAACTCATAATAACTGACACTGACACAACACTGACATTAGTAATAATTTAAAAAAATAAATTTACAAAGTGAGGTGTGTTGTTGGTGTCAGACATTTTTTTTTCCAGATGTATCGTGCTACGGAGATAACTATAACTTTTTGTTTCTTATCAGGCATCCACTTTGAAAAGGTATCCTGCACAATTATCACTCACAACATGGTTGTGTTTTATTGGAGGAGCACAATCAGCTGTTTTCACAGTGATAGCAGAACACAATAACCCTTCAGCATGGATCATAGGATTTAAATTTGACTTTTGGTCAACAGTATATGGGGTTAGTACAATGTGTGTTTTGTAAAATAAATAAAAAATAGTAGCAAATATATAAAATTCTAACGTTAACTATATATCAATGATTATGAATTACAGGGAATTATTGTTGGAGGGTTGTTCATATATGTTAACCTATGGTGCACTGAGAAAAAAGGACCAGTTTTTGTGACAGTATTTAACCCTCTTTGTACAATATTTGTGACAATTCTAGCATATTTCGTCGTTGGTGAAAAACTTTATTTGGGAAGGTGAATTTTTGTATACTTTATAAAACTTATTTATGCCATTGTTTTTTAGCATAATTATGACTAATACTGAAATTTTGTTTGTCATTATATTTTCAGTATCATAGGCGCAATTATTGTGATCACGGGTTTGTACATGTTGCTATGGGGTAAAGAAGGTGACAATGAGGTTGATTTCAAGGCCAAGGATAAATTGAAGTACAATATTGAAGACCTTGAAGAATGCAAAATATAGTTAATAACTTAAGGTAGTAGAGAGAGGTTGCATCTAAGTGGGAATAGAATAGAATCTAATAAAATGTGTATATCATAATGAGGGTTTTTAGGTATATTGCAATATACGTTTTGTGCAAAGTTCAATTCAAGCAACGCTCAATGGATTCGCTCTAAGTGATGTTTGAGAGACTCACATGTGACAATTTTTGAGGTTATGCCAATGAGACTCCCTTCTGTTTTAGGTTAATCACATCAACCTTTTGAAGATGTGGATCTAGATATCATTAGTGTCATAAAATATGAGAAAAATTATATTAAAAAATAGTAAGTAATATTGTTTAATGAAGTATATTTACAACGAAAGTGGTCTATTATTATTTTTTTCAAATGAGGTAAAATAATATTATTGTTAATTGTTTCAAGAACATCTCTTTAAATAAAAGTTATAAAAGAGTTATTTAACTACTGATCATTTATTTTGTGACATAGTTAATTCTTCACAAACTTCATAGTTGAAAAAACAAGTTTCACCCTTGCAGTTGCTACCGACAAAAGTAAAATCAATTTCAGAATCTTATAAACCATATTAAATGGTTTGCACTTATTTATTTCTACAAGTTTTGCACAAGGATCTGAAAGTCTTTTCAACGTTACAAATTTTGCGTCACATTGAACATTTCTAACATAATTTTGAAGTTGGTGTCGCAACACCACTTCCGACACATCTACAAAATCATTTGGATAAAGTTCAACTATCCTCAATATTTTTTTCAGATCAAAAGCTGCAAATGACTATGAGGGACTCAAATATGAAACACATTGTAAAAGTTCAGTATTCTCTTTATCAAACCTAACATTAAGTTCATGCAACTGTGAATCTAAAACACAAAACAAACAAGTGTGTGCTTATAATGATGCAAATTAGAAAGACTAGAAGTTGTAGCATGTCACCTAGGTTTCTTCCCTTGCACATACAACGCATCCATATTATGTACATCAATATCACGCTTATTTCAAATTTTCATAACCTTAGATAATTTTTGTTTCTCGTAATTATTGTTTAGTAGCATTGACAAGTGACAAAGCTTTCAAAAGATCTTGATCACGCTTTTGTAACAATACACTCAAATCATTTGTAAATCGTAAAATCTCAACCATCATATATAACATGAAGATAAAATCAAACGATTGAAGCACATCTAGAAAAATCATAGTTTCACCAAAATTTTCAAATGAATCCTTCCTGACTTCTTCAAGTGCCTCAATAATGGCACCATACAAAGTCATCAAACTAGTGAGAGTCCTAAAGTGGGAACACCAATGAGTGTTACCCGCTCTAACAATAGATGATTCTTGATTTAATATGTTACCAATCTCTATCGGGCCCTCTTAAATCAATTTAGTAAACTCAATTACTTTTTTGTTCCGAAGCAAATCTTGTCTCTTGTTAAAAGATCTTATGAAATTAACAAGCATATTGACCTTACCAAAAAAACCACTAACATATTTGTAAGTCTTAGTGCATGCAACAAGTTCCAATTGAAGTTGATGAGTGAAATAATACACATAATAAGCACATGGATTCTCCATTTGGATTAAAATTCTCAAACCGCCAAACTTATCTTCCATATTGCTAACTTCGTCATACCCTTTTCTCCTAATGCTAGATAAATCCATTAATAGATAACAATTTCTAAAGTACTTCCTTAAGTGACTTAGCATGTGTTTCTTTAACACTTACAATGCCAAGAAACCTTTCTTTTATCAAACCTTCACTATTAACATAGCCAACAATAACAACAACCAATTATTCTTTATCAACAACGTCATTAGATTCATCAATCAAAATACATAACATATCATCTGCAATATCACATATAATTTGTTGAGTTATTTCACATACACAAGCAACAACAAGATCCTTTCGAATCTTAAGGGACTAGCTATCTCTAGGTTAGTTTTTTTTAAAGTGTCCGCCAACTTAAAAAATGACTCCTTAAATAAAGAGTTAAGGGACTTTTTACTCCCTCTAAATGGCATGTCACATCTTTAAAAAAAATAGTAGCTATAGAAGATGTGTTTACACGAACACAATATTCGACATTCATTTGCCTAACTTGATTAACAAACGCAACCTTAATAATTTTATTTGGGTTTATGAAAGTGTAACTCATATGCACACAATCAACATGACTATTGAAAGAAGTAGCATGATTAGTCAATCCTTAAGCATTCTTCCAGTCACCAAACCCCTCTCCCTCAAAGTGATCCCCCCCCCCCCCCCCCCCATATTTAGGGATATTTTGAAATAAAAAAACATGAGAAATAAAACGCTAGGTCCTTAGATTCACTATAATCAATCCAGTATTACAAATCAAACCAATTTTTGAAAAAACGACGTCTTTGTTTACCTTAAACCGGACAAGTGTAAACAAAATCGTGAGGAGCTTGATGACGACCTATTCTTAAACAAGCTTCCTTCACCTCATTTTGGATGTCAAGATGATAGCTTGAAATTGGAAGCCTAATTTCTAGATCTATTTCTAACAATTCATAATTAACAACTTTAATTCTCTCACTTGAATGTTGAGTTTTCAATGCTTCTAGATTAGTCGAAGAAGTTGAATTGTCTCTAGAAAGCACGAGAAAAAATTTCTTCATCTTATAAAGAGAACAATGAAATCATTTAAAATAGTTATTCATACAATAAAGAGAAGAGTAAACCCAATTGATTATAAAGGAAAGTCATTTGTGAGAAATTGAGAAATTTGGTTTTTTTTATACAAATTGTTTTAGGGTTTAACTGAAAAAGATTAAAAAAAATAAGGAAAAATTGAAATGTTTGTTTTACCTTTGATTTTCAATCACCCACGTATAAATGCAGGCAAGGCAAGTGAAAAATCGGAGAGAGAATACGAGGGATTAACAATATGAGATGGAGAAAGAAACATGAGAGATTGTGAGGTTTGAAAGGAAGAGAAAACGTGAGATATTGTGTGTGTGTATGTGCGCGCGCGTGTGTGCGTGGGCGCGCGTGAAGCTTTTATGAAATTATGAAAAAATTCTTTATAAATTATTTTTTACACAAAATTACGTTATACTATAAAAATCATTTAAAAAACCAAAACAAATAGACTTTAGATTCAATTCAAAAATTATGATTTAGAGTAAATTAAAAAATTTATTATATCGGCGTTATTATGCATCTGTCTCTGTTTTCAAGTCTAAATAATTTTATTGGAATTAAAAGGGGATTGTCCATGACAAAGCAGCCCAAATCAAGTCCAGCAACATTGGACGGGCACGCATTGGCTCACATGAATAAGTCTGGGTCGCCCCACATGGTTTAGGTTCGGCGCCTTGTCTACTGCACACATGTGGCTATTAAGTTGCTATTAGAGCTTTGTTGTTTTTAAGCTGTTTTTTGTTTTTGTGGTCTTGAAGTCTGCTTCAGTTCGTCAGTGTGCCATTTGGGGGGCCTACTAAACCTGCTGCCTGGCTTTTGTGTATCTTGATTTTGTGTTGTAACTTTGTTGCGATGCTGCTCAATCTGTGCATTCAAAAAAAAAACTAATTTCATAAAACTTTAAAATACATACACATAGTCTCTTACTAGTGGCACGTACGTGGGTGAGTTCACTTTCATCGATCACTAATTTCATAAATACTTTTTTATTATAATATAATTATAAAATTTTATTTATTTATATTATGAGATTATTTACTATGCGTAAAAAAAATTTAGACATTTTGATTAACTGTATACCATGTGAAAATTTAATTGAAATACAATATAAGAATTTAATGAGTGTAAAAGGATAATATAATTAGTTTCTATATATAATTAATTTCTTAAAAAATAATTCAAAAACATTTAAATACTCTTTAATTAATTTAAGTTTTTTTTTACTTTTTTAATGTAATAATTAATACTATTAAAAAAATTAATGATTTTATTTTAATTTGCATCCTAATCATTGCCAGGTATTCTATTATTTTGTTGGTTTTATCCCATTAATTCATGTCACATCATTATCATCTATACAAAAATGGAAGGGATTAAAAAAACCCAAAATAATATTCTTTAATTTAATTTAAATTAGTTTTAAAATAATTCCTTCCCCAGGAATCAAATATATTTATAATTAAAATCACTCCCTTTCTTTATTTTGAACCAATACATATAAATCAAATCATTCTCCCCCTTTGATAAAAGACTAATCCGAAGTTTGAAGCAACAAGAACCACATGTTTATTTGCAAAGAGGACATCCTCTAACATGAAACCTTTTTATTTTAAAGATGTTACAAAACCTTTTTACCAACATGAAACTAGAAGATGCGGGGTATGATGATGAACACATGAAAGTAAAAGGAACAACATTAAATTTACTGGCTCATTTGAGCAAACTGCAGATTCTTCGTGTAATGTTTTGTTTATCCTTTGAAATAATGAACAATGGAGAGAATAATCAGATGACATTAGCTTCGTGTTTTAGTTTGTCAATAAGCTCATCCACAGAAGAAACAACAACACCTGATTTTCGCTTGGGAGGTTCTGTCACTTCGACAATCTCCAAATCGGGTTTGATTTCCACACTCAACTCCTCTGGCGTGAACTTCTTTATCGGCTTCTTTTTTGCTTTCATTATGTTGGGAAGTGTAGCATACCGCGGTTGGTTCAGTCTCAGATCAGTGCTGCAACAAGAAAAGGCACAAAATTTACATATCAAGAAAGTTGGTAAGGTGAAGGGTACAAGATTATAGTTTATGTTCTGGTGATAAAATGTGGCATTATGAAACAGGTTCTAACCATACCTACGATTTTAAATGTCCTCGTGAAAAACAACAGTCAGTATTTCACTAGATTTTGTGTTATAGTATGATACAGAATGCAAAAATGAATGTGATACTTACGTTATTACTGCTGGTAAGTTCAAAGAGATAGTCTCGATACCATCATCAACCTCTCTGTCAACGGTGGCTACTTGTTTCTCTTTATCGAGGACAACCTATCGGAAAGAAGCAGTTAGTTATGAAACAATTCAAAGAAAAGAAATCATTTCAGGTTTCGCTTAAAATGATTATTCAAAAAAGCTTGATTATATCCTAGTTAGATAGGAAGTAATGGTTACACAGAAGAGAAGCTACTCTAAAACAGTGGCCTAGCTCATCAACTTGGTCTAAGTAAACAGGTAAGAATAATGCATATTGAAAGAAATGTCAATGTCAATGTCAAATGACGGATCATTGGCTCATGGTTTGAAAGAAACGTTTTATTTGTATCAGCTTGATCTAAAATACAATGGATGAAACATATTCCATGAATCGTGTTTAATTGTTTCCAAAGGCGCCAGTATACGCAGATGCATATCAGCATGCAAATATAGACTCTAGAAAGAGGGAGAAAAATAATATAAATTTGAATACATTGTACTTCTAACATGGTATCTAACTTATGAATATCATAGATAGCTAGCCAAAGAAATGAATCAGACCCTATTGCTGAAGACGTAGATAATGGACTAACCTTTGAAGCAAAAGTCCCTTGTGGCCAGTTGAGAAGTCCTGCTACCATCTGCCCTGCTTGATTGCAATCATCATCAATGGCCTGAAAATATACAAGGAAAAAAAACACTTAATAGACTAGACAATTATGATCATCTAAATATTCTCATTAGACAGAATTTCAGATTGTATATTGTTCTACACAATGGTGATCATCCAAACGTCATGAATAATATCCAATTTGATAGGTGAAAAATGGTTTATGTTTGCATATATTCGTGTAAAAGTGGGTTGAACAACAATAACTTTAAGTAAGAATCTTTCAGAACAAAAACTCGCAATAGAAGATAAAAGAAACAATAAAGCGCCAACAATGAAACACGATGTTTGGTTAAGAAGTTCAGTCAAGCATGCCTATGTATACGGCTATATAGCAATTGTAGTTCCATCTAATTGATAGTGGAAGAAATTACGGTTTACAATGTTACAACTCATATATAAATACATCGATCCATAATACAACAATGACTTTGAACCATACCACGGGGCAAAGAGTATCAATTCTACTTGAGATCATGCAAACATATCAAAATCAATTCTACACATCACGAAAAATGGGGATTGATATATCTTGTACAAGAAAACATAATCAAAATCCAGAATTTATCTCATCACTAAAAACCAATAACCCCAAAAATTCAAACAAATCAGCTAATTCACAAACCATCATCACAATGAAACATTATCAACAAACACAAACCTCAATTTCCACAAACCCTAAAAAATGCAGATTACCTGTTTGCCAAGAATCAAAAGCCCAGGTTTCTCAATCTCAACAAGCTTCTTCAAAATCTTGGCAACAGAGAGAGGATAAAGAGAATCATCAACCTCAACATGAATCCCTTTATCAGCTCCCATAGCAAGACCAGTTCTAAGAGTGTCAACACACTGAGAAGGTCCCATGCTAACAGCCACAACCTCTGATGCCAAACCAGCTTCCCTGATTCTAAGGGCTTCTTCAAGGGCAATCTCACAAAATGGATTCATCGACATTTTCACGTTCTGGGTCACCACCCCTGTCTGCAAAAATAATAAAAATCGTGTCTTTTTCATCTAAAGATTGAAAATTTACAGTGAACACAAAAAGGGTTGTTCTGAGATTTTGTAGTGGTTACCTTGTCGGGTTTAACTCTGATTTTGACGGCGTAATCGACGACTCGTTTAATGGCTACCATTATCTTCATCTTGTTGATGGGTATTGATGGTAGCTTCTGTGTATTTTGTTCTCTGAAATATTGAAAACTGAATGAAATTAATAACTCTCTCTAATTCTATGGTATATCAGATTTCATTGTTTTAAGAAATTTATTTAATAGATTATAAGGGGATTTTGCATGTTTTAATCTCTATCCTTAGTGATTACTTATACACGACCAGAGGCATTTGTTTCATCTCTATCCATTTGTTGCCTAATTAACATATTATTACATGAAAGTTTTTTTTCTCTTAGACATTTTTGTCCATTTCCAAAAATAATACTTTATTTCTTTCTTATTTAAAATAAATAAAAAAAGACAAAATACTGTTTTTAGTCCTTAACTTTATTTTAGAATTTATTTTTTATCTTTTAATTTTAAAAAATTTCAAGTTAATTCTGTAATTATTTAAACAGTATCATTTAAGTCTTTTTCGTCCAATTTTTTTAAACGCTATCTATTTTTACACTACTGACATTCGACGTGACATATGTATATACACATGAAAATATATTTATTATTAAGAGAAATTAAAATTTCAATAAAAAATTTAAAAACTTATCTTAAACTATATTTCGAACTAATATGCACAATTTCCCACGTCCACCTCACCTTTTGATAATTTATTCTATAAATAAAATATATATTTATATTTCATTTTTTCTTAAATAGTTGTCTTCTCTATATGATTTTTCTTTTTTTCAAATTATAAATTAAACAAAAGAATGTAAAATTGAACTCACAAATAATATTGACAAGAACTATTTCTTGAAATTATAGCATCAATACATTAAAGAGACAATCGATTACAAACACAACATGAATATCTATTTGTTTGAATTTCACTGGAACTTCGTTTGGATTAGAATTAGGAGTGACAAAATGGATGGATTGGATGAATATGGATTGGATTGCTAATGGATGGATTAAAACAATCCATTAGTCCATTAAAATCCACTAAAATTTTATTAAAATTATCCAATCCGATCCATCCATTAAGAATAAAATCCATTCAATCCATCCATTAACATATTTTTAATGGATGGATATCCATCCATCCAACTTTTTTTTTAATTTCGTAGAAAGAAATACTTTTTTTTTCAAAAACAAATCAGTTTTTATTCTGAAAAAAAAAACCGATTTTTTTTCCAAAAAAAAGTCGGTTTTTTGTTCGAGAAAAAATTTTATTTTTTTTCGAAAAACAAATCAGTTTTTTATTCTGAAAAAAAAACTGATTTTTCAGAAAAAAAAATTAATTTTTTTCCAAAAAAAAAGTCGGTTTTTTTTCGAAAAACAAATCAATTTTTTATTCTGAAAAAATAACCGATTTTTTTCATAAAAAAAAATTTATTTTTTTTCCAAAAAAAAAGTCGGTTTTTTTTTCGAGAAAAAAGTTTATTTTTTTTTCGAAAAACAAATCAGTTTTTTATTCTGAAAAAAAACCGATTTTTTTCCAAAAAAAAGTCGGTTTTTTTTCGAGAAATTTTTTTTTCGAAAAATAAATCAGTTTTTTATTCTGAAAAAAAAAAACTGATTTTTTGTCCAAAAAAAAAAGTCGGTTTTTTCTTCGAAAAACAAATCAGTTTTTTGTTTTGAAAAATAAAAACAGATTTTTTTTCAGAAAAAAAATATAGTTTTTTAATTATTTTAAAAAAATAAATCTAACGAAAATAAAAATAATCCATTGGATCCTTAAAATATGTTAGATGGATTGAATCAATCCATGCATATAAATGGATGGATTGAATCCATCCATCCATATAAATGGATGGATTTAATCCAATCCATTAACTTATTTTTTGTGTGGTGGATGGATTGGATGGATTTTTTGATGGATGGATTGGATGGATTTTGCCTTAATGGATTTAATTGTCACCTCTAATTAGAATGTCCTTTTTATTATTCTCATCTCATTTGATCTACTTGTTGTTGCTAATGAAAGAATCAAGTGATTGATTATATTCAATAATTTCATTCTCAGAAAGTAGAATCAATTGATTAAAGAGAAAAACAACAATTATGATACTTACAGATTATGATTCTGTAAAATAAATTATACTTGCAGTTCATTCTCAAAACAAAGGGTAATTATTAATTATGAATTTGAATGTAATAATTAAGAAAAATAAGGAACAAGAACTTGTTGAAACATAGCAGCTTCGTGAAATTGAAAAGAAACAAAAAGAGTAATAAATAGTAGTAAATATTAGAATTAACTCAAAACTTTTTGAGAATTTCTAATCAATCTTGATATCAAAAAAGATTATGTGCAGCAACTTTAATAAAAAACGAGAAAGAAAGAAAAAAAGAGTTTAACAAAATCAAAGGAAGAAGAGAATGAATTTTAACTGTGGAATCTCCGCCCACAAACTGTGAAAATCTTCTTATTCACTTTGCAACTGAATTCAAGTTATTACAAAATAGGGGTTACTCCCTCTATTTATAGATGAGAAGGTCCAAAAACACAAAACCCAAAATTACTAATTTTGGTCTTAAGTCAAAATTTTGTGTCAAGCAACCTGCTTTGACACTTCGATATCTAAGCAACTCGACACACATACATTAGACTAATTTGACTAATCCTTGTTTATGTCGAGCTACACAGATTCGACACGAGGAATTACAAATTCTAACAGGAAAAATTAGAGGAACCTAAGAGGATCCAAATCTGAAAATTTTCCCAAACAAGATCTAGATTTGGAAATTTCCAAATCTGCAAGTTTGGATTTCAATTTTGATTTTGAAATAATGTTTTTGCTTTCGATTTCGAATTCAGAGGATCCATATTTGAAATAATTATTTTGAAATTTTCAAATCTGCAAGTTTCGATTTTGATTTTGATTTCAAATACCAGATTCCATGAACCATAACAACCTTAATTTCTTAATAATGGTTTGATATGCAAGTTTGGATTTTGACTTTGATTTCAAATATCAAAATCTGCAAGTTGTAAGTGGTTTGATCTTAGGTTGAAGAAACTAGGTTGAAGAGGTTTGAAGAAACCCAGAAAAGAGAAATAATTAATATATGTTTCTCACAAAAATAAAAACATTAAAGTGTGTGATTTGTTTCATGATGATGATTATATATGATTGTAATCCTTTTAGACTTAATTTATCCATTTTCTATATGCACTTCATCTAAACTCTCTTTTTATGGCTATTTGGTAGTGAAATTATTATGGAAGGAAGAGAATCTTTTGTAAAATAATGTATTATAATTTCATCAAGTCATTGGTATGTGTGTGTGTTATTCACACCCTTTTACAATAATATTTTCTTCACCATTTTCGATGAACTAAGCAGTCTCACTTTCAACAATTCTTGTACTACGAGTAGGACAGTAAAACTTATACCCTTTAGATCTTTTTGGATAATCAATGAAGTATTCATCGATTGTTCTTGCATCCGACTTATTTCATGTGGATTATATATCCTTATTTCTGCTTGACAACCCCAAACATGTAGGTGTCTTAAATTAAGTTTCCTTCTTGTCCATAATTTAAAAGGTGAGATTTGAACTTCCTTACTAGGAACCTTATTTAAAAAATATATGACAGTTTTTAAGGCATACATCCAAAATAATTTGGGCAAAGGTGAAATATTTAATATATGTTAGAACACAGATTGGTGTTTAATATATCTCATTGTTTTGATGATAACATTAATGAAATTTTGTATAGAGAATTTATATACTCTAATTTTGTTCAAGTGTTTATTTGTTTCAGATATCAAAATTAATATTATTCTGGAAGCAAGAACGCCTATGAACATTACAGAACGATAAAGCTCTGAGCGTCAGAAGTAATACATCAGAAGTCTCTGATCTGCTACAAATGACTCTGAGCGAAGCTGAGAAGAATTTGAGTAAAGAGCATACGTAAAGCTTCAGAAGACTCTGGAAGTACTTAACGCTGCAAGTACAGAGGCTCTGATAAAGCTAGTCTGTTCTGATAAAGAATTTCACGCTGAAGCCCTTTGCTGCATAACTCTGTTAGAGTTACTCTGATCTGAAGAACTAGGAACATCATCAGAAGTTCTGATACAAGACGTTCCAAAGTTGTAGAAGAAGATGTTGTTCAAATAAAGATCCGTTGGCATATTCTTTGTCCTTATCCAAACAGATCTTTCCTCATTCGTGCATGACACAGGAATTCAGACAAAAAGGATTTGTCAGAACATTCCCCTTCTGAGAAAGGAAAAGTCAATAGAAGACAAAAACAACAGAATGCATAGTGTTGCACAGTCTTTGAGAAATGGACTTCAAGTACTATAAAAGCAAGTCTCAGCATCACTTCAAAGGTTAACCAATCAAAAATTAATTATTGACGAATCACTTGAGAAATTATTCAACAAGCAACTCATACAAACATTCTTCAAAGCTGAATAGTTTTTATTTCGTTCTTTAACTTGTGTAAAAATCACTGTTGTGATATAGCTTTTTAGAAGCAAATCTTAAACACATTGTTAGTTTATCTTTTGTAAAAGATTCCTTAAGAGACCAAGTGTGGTCAGATTTCTTGAGAAGATTAAGACAGTTGTCTTAGTGGTTAACACTATAATCAGTTTGATTTAGTGGATTAAGTCCTTGTTGAGAAAGGAAAATCACCTTGGTAGGGTGGACTGGATTAGT